CGGGGCGGCTGGGGCGGGAGGCGCGGATGGAGGAGCCCTGTCAGGAAGAGGCGCGGGAATTGCAGGAACGGGCACAGGCTCGCTGGCCGGCTGGGGTACCGGGGCGTTTCCGGGTGCTGGTTCAGGGGCTGGTTCAGGGGCTGGTTCCGGCCCGGGCTGCGGCTGCGGTTGACCTGCGCTGCCGGGCGGTGCGGGTGCGCAGTTAAGGTTGCAGGGCGTCTCGCAGCGGCCGATAAAGTCGGGGGCGTCGTTCTTGCAGCGGGCCGTTGCAGGGGCATAGGAGCTCAATGTCTGTGCCGGTGGGCTGGTCGAAGGATTCGCAGAGGCAGACGAAGAGTGAGTCGTCGAGGCGGTTCGAGTCGGGCTGGGCGCTGGCGCAGTCGATGCCGGGGCTGGAGCAGTAGCCTTTGGATACCTGGTCCTGAGTGTAGCCTGCGAGCCGAGTTAGCGATATGTTGCGATTTTGAAAAGGTGGGGAAGAGGAGGTACCCTGGGAGCCCTTGAGGACCTTTCCACAGTAGGTGGCGCCGCACACGCATGTTGCGCCATTAGTGGGCGGCGATCCTGTAGTTGCCGAAGAGGGTGTAACAGGAGGGGGAGGGGGAGGAGGAGGAGGGGGTGAGGCTCCGGGTGGCTGTGGGCTTCCTTCGATCACCGTGATGGTCGTCGTCGAGGTGGTTATGGGAGCTGGGAGGATCTGGGGTAAAGGCGGAGCGGGGACCTCCTGAGCTCGAGCAGACGCCAGTTCAAGGAGTGCTGCGAGCGTGAGTATGGATGTGGGCTTCATCTTGCGGTTAAATCCAAGGCGTCGTCGTCTTTGTAGAGGCCGGTGGTTATCTGTGAGTGAATTTGTTCATGGGGCTGGAGCAGATGTCGTGTCCGTGCTGAAGAAAACTGCAAAGGCGCTCATTGCCCTTTTAAGTTGACAAGTAGTCTCCTTCATGATTCAAAGTTGACTCTTCTGTCGACTGTCTCTGTCGATTGCCAAGACGGTATTGCATGGTCTGGTTGTGTACCTTTCTCGAGTTGGTCCAGAGCAAGCAGCAAGCATCCGTGCTAGAGGTGGAGCAGGCAGATATTCCAGCGACACGTTGATGTGATACCCGTATCGGACCTCACTCGGGCCCTCTTCGCGCCACCTTCAGTATGTGTACGACGAGGATGCGTCACGCTTGATAGCAGTGTTGCCGGTACAATCCACTGCTAGCCATGCCCCCCCCCCCGGCATTGCAACATATGCCATGCTTGTCTACTTTCTACGACGTCCAGATTCACTCAGAAGAGGGAAAGGATGTGTCATCGGCGACTCGGCGACTCGATGGCTGGCTCGGGCGCTTGCCTCGATGACATATGCCGTGGCCATAGCTGTCATGCCGTGCTTCGAGGTACGCGGCGAGGAACCGTCCGGGTAGATACGAGGACAGCTGAGATGGACATGTCAGTACGTGAATCTTTTTCTCACGACTAAACTCTGGACGATGAAGATCGATATGAGGTCATGAGAAGCTCTTGTGGTCAGAAGCCGCGTTCTTGGTTCAACGTAGGGGAGAATTGTGTAGCGACATGACGGACAAGCATGTATCACCCGATGGCGTCTCTTCGTTAGGGATGGCATGTTGACGTGGGGACCTCCTTTGCACACCCGGGTGCCTTCATTCCCTGTTGAGGGAGGGGGCAGGGCAAGGAGCTGTGGTTGAGGTTGAGGTTAAGGTTGAGGGTGTCGAAGAGACAGGGTATGAACAAGGGGTGGAAGCAGAAGATGAGGCAGGGACAGTGCGTAGGGCCAATGCACACCTGGCACTGTTCGACAGCCACCACCCCCACCACCCCGCTGCCAGCACATCTCGTCATCCACTTCAGTCGAAAGGGCTCCCGACATTCAGGGTCTTTGCTGTACAGATCCAAGCCTCCCAAGCCCCCGACCGTCGCGCAGCCCTCGCTCAAACTCGAAGCAGTCCACTCTGTTGACCTTTGGCACATTGGACACCACACAATCTCCGGTCCGCCCACCATGGCTGCCGCTCCCACCTCCGACAGCGGCAATGGCCCCGCCGCCTCAGCCGCCTCAACCGTTCGTATCGGCACCCGCAGGTCAGCGCTCGCCGTCCGCCAGACCGAGCTGGTGATCGAGGCGCTCAAGCGTATCCGTCCCGACTACACATATGAGATCCACGCCATGCAGACCCTCGGCGACAAGGACCAGGTCACTGCTCTCTACAACTTTGGCGGCAAGGGTCTGTGGACGAACGAGCTCGAGGCCAAGCTCACGAACAACGAGATTGACGTGATCGTTCACAGTCTCAAGGACATGCCCACCGTCCTCCCTGAAGGCTGCATACTTGGCGCCGTCGTCGAGCGCGAGAACCCCCACGATGTCGTCGTCTTCAAAGATACCGTCGCAGACCAGTACAAGTCCATCGCCGACCTCCCCGCCGGCAGCGTTGTCGGCACGAGCAGCATCCGCCGCATCGCACAGCTGAAGCGCAAGTACCCGGGTCTCCAGTTCGCCGACGTCCGCGGCAACATCCAGACCCGTCTCGCCAAGCTCGACAACCCCGATGGCCCCTTCACCGCCATCATCCTCGCCGCCGCCGGACTGCTGCGCATGGACCTCGGCGGCCGCATCGGCCAGTACCTCGCCTCCGACACGGGCGGCATCTTGCACGCCGTAGGCCAGGGTGCCCTCGGCATCGAGGCCCGCACCGACGACGACCGCGTGCTCACATTGCTGCGCGGCATCGAGCACGGCCCCACGCGCCTCGCCGCCGAGGCCGAGCGCAGCGTCATGCGCACCCTCGAGGGCGGCTGCAGCGTGCCCATTGGCGTCGAGACAACCTGGCGCGACGACGGCAAGACGCTGACCCTCAAGGCGTCCGTCACCCACGTCGACGGCACACACGGCGTCGACGGCGAGAGCACGCGCGTCATCGAGTCGCCCGAGGCGGCTGACCAGCTCGGCAGGGACCTTGCCGCCGAGCTTGTTGGTAGGGGGGCGCAGACGATTCTTGATGACATCAACCAGAACCGGCCGGGGGATCAGCCTGCGACGCTCCCCGCGGCGGCTGCATCATAGACTTTTTTTTTTCTCTCTTTTTTTCTTTCTTCTTCACGTCTGCTCTGTTCCACGACTGCCCGTCTCGTGAGTCGAGTTTACTGGCATACCCTGTGAACCCTATGACGAATTGCATAGCGTACGTAGCTTGCTCAGCGAGCGAGGGATTCCGACGGGACCCTCCTGAGCATATGGACAAAAAAACAAAAGCGTTGATGATGAAGAGCCTGAACAGAATGACACCTAAAAAGCATGAATCTCAATTCCGTTTCTATGTCGCCGGCCCAATGTTAAAAGCCGTAAGACCGTCGGCAGTCCGTATGATACAGCCCGAAGTCTTCCTCCGTGCCGCCATCGCCTCCCTGGTCTGGGAGAGACAGGGGAGGGATATGTTTTGCAAATGAAAAAAAAAGAGCCAGAAAATTCCCCAGGTTGAACTGTACTTGTCGCTTCCGTAACCACCCAACGCGCGCGCACACATATAAGCTATCATGCCCTTATCTCTACCAGGTCAAAGGACATATTAGTGCTCGCCGCCGACAAACGCCTTGTAGGCCTCGGCATCCATGAGGCTCTCGAGGTCCTTGACGCCCTGCTCGTCGACCTCCACGCGGGCCAGCCAGCCGCCGCCGTGCGAGTCGTCCTCGGGCACCTTGTTGATGGTGCCGGGCTTCTCCTCGAGGTCAATGTTGACCTGGACGACCTTGCAGCTGACGGGGGCGTTGATGTCGGCG